CAAGCGAGGGTGCTCTCTTTCCTCTTCACTACACCGATAGTCCTATGGTCGGGTGATTGTTGAGTGTTCACTTTGTCCTACCGACAGACCTATGGTCGGGTAGGGACTTCGTTGTTTCATGGAATGTGGCCGGGCGAGGGTGCTTCCTTTCTCTTCACTAACAGACCTATGGTCGGGTGACTATTCCTTTTCACTTTGTCCTACCGACAGACCTATGGTCAAGTAGGGACCTCGCTATTTCGGGTCCCATGGTCGAGCGAGGGTGCTCTCTTTCCTCTTCACTTCACCGATAGATCTATGGTCGGGTGATTGTTGAGTGTTCGCTTTGTCCTACCGACAGACCTATGGTTAGGTAGGAACTTCACTTTTTCGTGGCTTGTGGTCTGGCGAGGGTGCTTCCTTTTCTCTTCACCGATAGATCTATGGTCGGTTAATTGTTCCTTTTTACTTTGTCCTACTGACAGACCTATGGTCGGGTAGGGACCTCACTGTTTTGTGTCATATGGTCGGGCAATAGTGCTTCCTTTTCCTCTTCACTGACAGACCTATGGTTAAGTGACTATTCTGTTCCACTTTATCCTACCGATAGACCTATGGGCGAGTAGGGACTTCGCTATTTTGGGGCCTATGGCCGAACGAAGGTTCTTTCCTTGTCCTTTTTCGTATCACTGCCAGACTGATGGTCGGGTGATCATTGATCATCTTTTCCCTCACCCTCAGACTTATGTTTAGATGATTATTGAGTCTCCTTTAGCCCTCTATGGTACTATTTCAACTTATTCTCATGTGAGCATAGGATCCTTTCCTTCTTTTATTCTGCCATTTTAACTTGAGTAGGCAGATATTGATTTTTTTTCTTTGACTCTCCCTCACTATTGGTCTAGTGAGTATTGAGCTTCCTTTATTCGTTGTTTCAAGTTGGTCATGCTAATATTAGATTTCTTTCCCCTTTCTATCCCACCATGTTTGCGTGTTTGGATTAGCACTGTATGACTGAATGATTGTATGATCATTGTAAGATTTGATGACTTTTGCATGACTGTGTGAGCATATCATCGAGTGATTATTGCATGATTGTGTGAATAGTTGTATGATTATACGATTGCTATATGATTATTGCATGATTGTTTGCTTATCATGTGATTTGATAATCATTATGTAACTAAATGATTATTGTGTGATCATGTGAATATTATTTGGTTATGTGTTTATGATTCAATTACGTGTTATTGAATGATCACATCATTATTGCATGAATTGATGATGAGATAATTGTGACATGAGTGTATAGTAATTTTATGGTTATATGATCTCTGTATGATATGGTGATTATTACATGATATTGTGATTTGAGTGTCACGATTGCTTGATTGCATGGCTATGTGACTGATGTATCGTTGGATGAGCATTGTGTAATTGTGTGGTTAGAGCATAGTGAGATATTTGTTACATGATTGTGTGAGCATAATATCACGTGATTGTTGCATACTTGGGTTTATTGCATGATTAGATAATAGTTTCATTATTGTGTGATCATGATAAAGATTGGTTGATTATTGTATAAACGCATGATCATTACATGGTTATATGATTTTTGGTGACTATTACATGATCAGTTGCTTATTGTTATATGATTTGGTACGATTAAATGATTGATGCATACTTATCGCATGGTTGTGTGGTTACTACGTGATAGCATGATTATGGTATGACTTGATTATTGCTATATGGTTAGTTGATTTTGACCTGAGTGTATAATGATTGCTTGATTATCTGATATTTTGGGAATATTTGACTATTATATGATTTGATGGTGATCATGTGATTGAATGATCATCTCATAATTGTGTGATTGCATGATTATAACATGGTGGGACACTTACTGCATTATTGTTGTATGATCGTATGTTTCTTGAATTCCATTAGTTGATTGTAGAATTGCATCGTCCTTGTGAGTCTCGGTAGTGAGTTGTAGGGTTGAATCATCTTAGAGATAGGGAGGTCAATGCCAACAAGTATGGTTCACTAGTCGTTTGCCGCACTTGTTGTGGGTCCATTTATTGACCTCGATTTTTGCTAATTTTCCCTCGACCGTGCTTGATCGACTTGATTGAACCACCATGAGTCGAATGTGAGTCGAATCGATGTCAATTAGAATTTATTTCTGAATTTACTCGGATTGAATCGAATTTGACTCGATTGCACTCGATCAATTTCAATCAAAATATGGCGACCCCATCGGGCCTGATTTGTTCTCAATTGACATTATTTTTGAGTTTAATATCATTAAAATAATTTAATTGAGCCACATTGAACCCGAAATCATCTTCATTTGAGTTAAACCAAGTTTGATTTGAACTCATACCTGATCTGAGTTGATCCAAATTAATTCCAATTAAACTCCAAGCAGCTTTCTAATATATTTGAATTTAATTCCTAAATAAAGTAATTATATTGACGGTTGTGAGTGAGTGTGGTCTTCTTTTCAGCCAGAATCTCGCTATTCAGGAGATTTCTGCGACTCGAACAGGTATTGAGCAATGAGCGAATCTGTTTTCGGTGATTTCAGAAGCTGAAGAATGATGGAAAGAAAGGGCGGGCTTCCTTTTTTGGGCTCGACTGACACTTATGCCAAATGAAGGCTCTTGGTATTTTTTTTCTTGCACAGGTTCCCCCTCTCTCCGTCTCTTCCTTGTTCGCACAAGCAAGAGAAAGAGGCCGAAGCCCCTCCATTTCTTCGCTCCATCTCTGCTGCTCGTGAACTCTAGGATCAAACAGAAGCCCAGCCTCTGCTTCTCCTCTGTTCGGACCGAGCCAGGACCAAAGTCTCGTCGCCTTTCTTGCGTGGAAGCTGATGACTTCCTTTCTCCCTTGGATATGTAATCTCTTCTCCCTATATTTCTTCTTCTCTCATCCCTTCTTCTTCTTCGTTTTCTTCTTATTCTTTATTTCCTTCTTCTTCTTCATTCTTTCTTTTTGTTCGCTTCTCTATTTCTTTTATTTATTTATGTAAGAGTCATTTTGTCACTCTTGTGACTTGTTCTCTTAATGATTTTTTCAACGTTCATGTGTGAATAAATTATTTTTGTTATCCCTCTCATAAGTGTTGATGATGCCTCTTGATAGTAAGTTAGGGTAATACCTTTGGAAATATGATGAAGGGAGATGAGTACTTTCTTTAACATTGAATGGTATTTATTGTTGTAGTTTGTGCCTTGTTATCCATAAGTTGAATTTCATTGCAAGAATATGAGATAGGTGGCAAATTCTCAAAGCCCTAGCCCTATATTCCTCTTCGTTTACATATCGCACACAAAATATTTGATGAAATTCTCTCAAGAAAAGTGTTATAGTGAAATGTCTTTTTGTTATCTTGCCAAAATCTCATATGGATGCCAAGAGTTTTTGTCACCACTAAGAGCACTTGAAAGATTTTAGACATGATAAATTTTTCATCAAAGTTTGTTAGATAATTGAAGATAGAGTCTAAATATGTTCTTATAAACATTGTGCTCTATGCGTTTGATGAAATGTCTCTAAAAAAGGATTCATGATGGTTTTGCTCACATTAAAATCTTATTTAGTGGTCTTGTTGATATGAAAGCTTTCCTTTAGTGCATCATCTAGAAGATTGTTAATAAAAAAAATCTGAAAGGTGATGTTCACATACTTCTTATTGTTACAAGTTAATGTTGAATTATTTCAAAGAAGCTTTGATAGAAAAAGAAATGCATGCCAGCGGTTTGATAAAAAAAAAAATACTTCTAAAAGATCATACAATAAATTTATCAATGTTAATTTGAGGTCCACTTAGTAAAGAATAATTTATGTTTTCTGATGAATATATTTGTATGCGATCATAGATATGAAGCTTGGCGATGGGATTAAGTAACTTCATATATTCTAAATTTAAATGAGTAGATTTATAAGTTCAAAATAGATGTATTTTGTTTATAGATAATAAAAATACATGAGGGAGAAATAAATTTATTTTCTTTCATAGATTTATCGAATGATTTTTCTCCAAATGCTAGTTTTTTGTGTATATGTATAAATGTGAGTATAGTTTGGGAAAGCTAAAGCGTTCATACATGATCACATGCTTCTATTGTTTCATCAAAAAGTTCCTTAAGATAGTCTTACATATAGATTTGCTATCTAAGTGATGCATACAAAGGGGTGCATATAAATAAAGCATGTTTATATTATATTTCATCCTTACCTCTAAAGACTTTGTATACTTGAATCGTGAGAAATGCATGCTTACTCGTATATGCTATGAAACGATTGTTCTAAGTTATATCTATTATTATATGAAAGAGATATGTTCTTATGCCCTTAAAAAAAAAATACATTGCATGTGAAACTAGAAATGCATACCCATGTTGATGTTGAGTTCTAGCAAGTTTGTTCTCTTATTATGGTTTTGTGGAATATATATATAATCGTCGTGTTCCTTAACATTTATCTCCACGAGTAATTTCTAGTTATTTCATTCTTTTACAATTGAGCTATGATTTAAATCGTGAATTTTTTTTTAGTCTTTTGGAACATGTACACAATACTAGATGCATTTTATTTGTTGACTTCATAAATCATATCCATTGCATTTACTTAGTGATTAATGGTAATTTAGTTGATTGTGCATGAAACCAATCTTGTTTGTTCAACTCGTCATCATTAATAAAAGCCCATCATGTCATTTCATATTTCATCCTAAACATCACTATTTATAAACTTTCCAGGTTTCATAAATTGAAGTTCATTCTCATGTAAGGTAGTGCATGCATATCATGTGGTTACAACTATTATTAGGTTATACTCTTCATCCGATAAAATCATGTTAAACTTATTCTTTAATAATGTTATTGGGAAAGAATTGAGACTCCTTTCGTGGTTGGTGATCTATTTCCATAGGAATGTTACCTATGTGTTGCATCACTACTATGAGCCACAATCAAATCATGTGACCAAATATATAATTCTTTCGTGGTGTCTAAGTGATGTTTGCATGTATTATAGCTTCAAGAGAGATGTTTATATAGCACCTTATTTATATCATTTATGATCGATTGAGAAAATTTGTACATAAAGGTATGTTTAGGATTGTTCATTAGTAAAAGCATATTCATTATTAGATTGAATCTTAATATTATGTACGAATTCATTACCAAACTAGTTTCATGAGTTCATTGAAATTTTTACAATGTATGTTTAGAGCTATGTAGTGTAAGAAATGATGCTTATATCTTTGCACAATATATATGTATGATATCTCTTTATGTTCTATGTTGATAAATTTTCACATGCTTTATGTATAACATGGTTTATCGCCAATCCCCTTTACTTATATTAATGAATTTCACATGCTTTGAATTTATTCTTCTTGCACACTATGTGATAGCAAGTTTCTATATACTCACTATGTAGATGCATGTGTTGTGTCAATAAATTGCTATGTGATCCATGTATAAATTTTCTTTATGCTTTACATTAGAAAACCTTCACTCTGTTTATGTTTTAGTGGATGACATGTACTTGATTGATAAATATGAATTGCTAAGTAATTAGATTAATATCAACTTGCTTCTCTTTTTGAATAGTGCCTACTCTCACTCCATATTTGCCTTCTTTTTATTATTTTACGAGGTCATTGAGTCTTGCATATGCATTGATCAGTGGGTCATTTGCATGGGAGCTTCTAAGTGGGAATGCCTGAGTTAGGTACACCTTGATAGTCCTGTAGAGACTCCCATTGTATTGCTGAATGGTTACACATTAGCACACACATTTGACTGCTTTTACTTTCCCACCCAAATATATTTACTATGATGTTTAGTTAGCCGGCCATAGTTAGTACACTAACAAAACTTTGGCCTTGTGGGCCAAAGCTTGCCCCCTTAACATGAAACTTAGAGACCCTTATAGTCATTTTAGGCCTGTAGTGTAGGCCACTCGTATGTGTCATATGCATCATTTTTTCCCACACGAAGTGGGCATCGTTATGATGGTTTTTTTTTTAAATGATTAAATAACTCTAAAAATTACTTCTTAATGATTTTTCGGCCTCTAAATGTCTTTCACAAGCATGCTAAGAAAAATGTACAAAAATAAAATAAAATATGAGCTCTAGTATGTTTGGTAGCTTCTTTTGATTAGCTTCATGATTGCAACCCTTTAATAATTAGTGTGTTTAGTTACTATTTAAGCTTAGTGTAGAACCTTTGTCGTGATTTTCATTTTCTCCAACAATGACATAAAAGGATCTCTAAAAGTCACAAAACTAACTAATAAATACACTAATAAATTTATAATCAATTTTAAATAATTAAAGAACCAATCATAATGATAATTTTTTGCTAAAATTCATTAAATAACAAACATAAAGCTTAATAACTAGATGATTACCTAGCAACCGGGCCTACGAGGCTATTAACTTAGCCCTAAAGAGGGTGAAATAAACCTCATGGTCCTGGTTTAACAAGGGTAATTATCGTTTAACTTAAGTAAGCAATAGTAAGCTACCAACGAGTTAAATCCTTCAACTTAAATCTTAACTAATTCAAAAATATAAGAAGTACATATCAAATATAAGCACTAAGTATTAAAATTGGCTAATAAAATATAACCAACACAAAAGCCTCTAATTGAATTCATAAATCATTACAACTCCTTAAAAATCTTTAATTAATCTACAATCTCTAAAATTCCCTTAACCAATATACAACTTTAAAATTATTAACCACTCAAGTAGAATCTTAAAATATATAAAATACACCTTTCACCCTCTCCTAATATGATAACCTACATTAATTATGGTGAAACTAAATTAAGATCATTAAAATCCTTTCAACCAACCTTCTTGCGTTTAACAAATCATTAAAATACTAATATTTAAACTTTAACTAAAGTCTCCTAATTATGAGTAAACCAAAATAAACCTATTAGAGGAGCAAATGAATTTCAAGATATGCCTTAGTGCCTTAACTTATATAGAATTTATATTCACCTTTGTGCTTTAGTTTAAAAAATGTACAAAGGTCTATATAAATTGTCCCTCCTTTAGAAAAATTAGATCCATCTTTAGGGACCTAAACCAACTACATTAACCACCCAAGTGTTATAACTTAGGTCAGGTAGAACCCATATACATCTTTATATATAGTATGTCATTCCACTCTCATGTCAGCTTTTAAAAATAAATTTACCCTAGACATAGGAAGCTTAGGATTTTCTTTTCATGGTGGGTAGTAGGCTCATCTTAGTGGTGTCACCTTTAGCCATTCCTCGAGTCCTAGATTATTACAAAGGGAAGGACTAACCAACCCTTACCACCTTTTAATAATTTCGGCCTTAATTAGGAGCAGGATTGAGAATAGGCCATTTTCCCCTCAATTCTTTATAATCTTAGTATAAGTTAGGGCTTAAGCTCTTAGGCTCTTTATAATTTAATAACTCAAATTTTTATCCTAAGATCAAGTTTTAATTAATTCATCCTAAATGGATAAGCACTTAAATAGAAACTTGAGGGTTAATAAATTAAATAATAAGAATTCGACCTTGTAACTCAAACCACTCACCTAATTTGGGGTGGTTAGGTACTCATTTTTTCACACACTTAGGTGCTGGCCGGATAGGACACCTTTTATAGGCATTCTAGGCTAGGGTGTATGAAAATTCGTTAGGGATGTTAAGCCCTATAGAACTGGCCCAAGCTAACCAAGAGGGGGGGTGAATTGGTATTTTAAAAAATTCTTTTCACAAAGAAGTAAAATCTCATAAACCAAAATCATATCACAAGAAAAATAAGTGTGGAAATTAAAGTACGAAAGCAAGAAATAAGAATACATAAATTTATACTGGTTCAGTCAACTTGACCTACGTCCACTCACCGGAGGCGCCCTCCGAGTATTGCACTTGAACAAGAGCTTTTAAATAGAAGAGCTTCAAAGGAGCTCATTAATTGCAAGTTGTCGACTATATCGTCCAGGATGATATGGACATCGTCCTGGCCGATCAGTACAAATCCCATGAGATCGGCCAGAGCATCGCCCTGAATGCAAACTGGACGATTGAAAATTGGCTTGATCGTCCAGGACGATCTCACGATCTTCCAGGCCGATCAGTTCAAATCAGAGAAAAATCGTCCAGAGCATCGCCCTGAATTTGTGATGGCTGATATTTATAGTTCAGAAGTAACTAAGGTTTTTGAATAGATCATCCTGGTTGATCCTGTGATTATCCAGGACGATATGATCGTATCAATCATCCTTAATTACTTCCTTGATTTATCTGATTAATTAAGGCAAAATTGTGAAAATCATCCAGGTCGATCCATGATCGTCCTGGCCGATTACAAAAAATTACAGAATACCTTAATTGTTTATGGCAGGAATTTCGTGTATCGGCCAGGACGATCTGTTAATGAAGGCTGCCTTAATTAAGAATCCTGAATAGAATCTCTGTTTTAAACTAGATCGTCCAAGCCAATACAAATATCATTCTGGCCGATGTGAGTAAAAATAGAAATTCTAAGTCTCTCAAGTGTGTGTGTAGGGTTACTTAGCATCAGTCTCTTTGAACATTACAAATAGACGCAAGAAGAGAACAAATAAAGTACAAACTGACTCAACCCTAACCTACACAATCTTGAACTGGCTTCATTTGTTCGTCCGATCTTTGATTCCTGAAAAGTTAGAAGTAACAGGCAGTTCAAGAGACTCAATAGTGTTTGTCAATCATCAAAACATAAGTCATGAAAATATATTTGCAACAGTGTAGCTAAGATAACCTTTTACACTTTTTATTTTACATTTTGCATATGTGATGATATGATGATTGTTTATGGTTTGACTTTTTTTTATTTTCTTTTCTTTTTTTGATTGATGAGTGGGCACTTGCCCTTAAGTGGTTAGATTTTTTTTTTTTTAGAAATATCTTCTACAGGTGGCCATGTTCCTAAAGGATAACATAATAATGCTGTTATTATAAATCTGCTCTTTAATAGGTACAACGAGGAATGCTAAAAAGCCCTTGGGAATATGGCCCTAAGGACTAGGTTCTGGATGATGTGTGATTTTTGTTATAATTATGCTAATATGTATTTTTTTAGTAGGGGATCAATGTAATTTTCTTTTATATAAAATATAATTTGATCTAAAGTGTTGTGAAAGCTTATAAATGAGGTATTTTTAATGTGTTAGGGATTCAAAGCGAAATGAAAACCCTTTATAAGGAATTTCTTCTCACTTGGATATCCTATTGGATGATGCAACATAAGGAGCATGAAGGGAAAGAAGATGAAGATAAACAAAATACCTCATTTTTAAGACTTGCATCATTTCATAGGGATAGAATCCGGGTTGTTGTCGATGGAGCCCGGTCACCTCTACTTTTCAGTACTTATTGGGTTGTAAAATAAGTGGCATTTGCCACAGACTTTTGGATACTATGATTAATATTATTAATGTGATGATATGTTTACTTTGCTTACGCATTTAAACTTCATATTTTTCTTAAGTTTCTTAAATTGCTTTGTTTGGGTGTGGCTCGGACGGAGTCAATGTTAGGCTCTTTAGGTTGTAAATTTTTTATAAAGTTAAAATTTATTTAAGCAAGATAAAAAGTGAATATAGGATTAAAATCAATCAATTTTTCTAAAAAATTTATTATTGCATGACTCCTTTAAAGGGTCACTTTTTAAAATTATAATAAGTAAGCCTTGCTCACTTCACAGTGACTATTGACCAATCATAATTGGCCCTACCCTCACATGCATATCCTTGAGTCAATATATAAATTTCTCTTTTGCAACATAGAGGGATAGTTCACTTTGTATTGCATAGTACCATTCATGTCAGGTTTAATACCCATTTCCTTTTCTGTGCCTCCCACCACTCCTGCATTTGCATTAGACAGAACAACATGGATTTGATATGCTAGATGGAGTTTAGCTGGTACCCCTTTCTGAGCAAGGTGATAAATCCAGGTCGAGCTGCTTAGATCCCTTGTGGGATTTAAGCTGTAAGTCCCCTTACGGTGGATCGCATTAGTTAGGTTGTATATGTTAGTATTGTGTGTACAATACTACATCTTCTATAGATTTAAGATCTAAGGCTAGAGGTATAAGTGTACCGCTATACGTCTTATCGGTGGGTGAGTTCTCTATTCTTTAGAGGCTGTGAATCCCATCCATCTGCGTCACACGGATGATATCACCTCCATCTTTCTCTCACGCATACTTGAGGTGTTATATCTTTTTTTTTCAGTTTTCTCTTCTTTAGACCGATCGGATGTTGATATTAAACCGCACATGATAATTAAACCAAATTGAACATATCTTCCCCTTTGATTATGTGAGCCTAGAAATTCCCCTATGCGCTAAATCCATTTTGAGAGAATAATATAACATCCCTAATCGAGATTTTTCTTAGGCTAAGGTCTAAGATATAATTAACCACGGGGGCTTGTGCCCATGGAAAACCGATCCCCACATCAAATAAATCTCATTCGAGCTGATGTATCGAATGGGGGAAATCTCGTGATGTTTTGGGTTATATATATTATTATCCATCTAAGTGTGTAGGTGAAAGTCAATATCTCCCATGGCTAATCGTATGTATGACTCCATTTACTCTTCTATTGGCCTGCTTATATCGAGTGTAAAGGCCTACGATCATTTTGTCCTACGGTATAGTATGGTCGTATCCTTTGCTTTCGAACCCCATAAACATAATCCTTTCAGAGACCTACAACAGTACTTCTTTTGAGATTGTCATATATTCTTATTCAGACTTTGTAGGTTGTAGGGTTGATCAAAAGAGTACATCTGTAGGAAGATATGAGGGGAGGGTTTATGGCTTAGGTTCGTAGGAATATACTATTGAGAGAAATACAACCACCTCGGTATTTTATGATGCTAGTGGTGTTAAAGAAATCATCAGCAAGATGGTTACTGCTTTGGCAAAAGAGAAAGATGAGACGAGACATATTCAGGCTGAGATGCAGGTAGAATTGTGATCATTTCGAGCTGAAAATCAGAAGGAAAATGATCAGGAGTCAGTGCATGAATCACAGGGTAATGGAGAGATGGAAGATGATTAGATTTAAGTTGATGTTGAAGTTGTTGTTGGACTTTGAAGAACAAGCATTTGTTTGAGAATATATTGACATGAACTTTTTATTGTAGTTGAACTTTATTTTTTTAAGTTTATTTATGTTGAACTTTTATGTTTTATTATGTTTCAAAGTTTGCTTATTTTAAACTTTATGCTTTCAACTCTTTTAACATGTTTAGATTATGAATATTATGAGTTCATGCATTTTATTTTATTTATATTATGCATTTGTTATAAGTATCAATTGTGGAAATATTTGTAGACAATCAAGAGGCTATCAATTTTTATTTACCTTACTACAGGTTTCTGGCTGCCAAACCATTAGAAAATTTGATATCGAACAGTATCAAAAGCCGATGGAATAATAAATAAATCGCCAAAAATTTTCTACAGCTTTCCGATGGCCTATCAACCAAAAATTACCAGCGGTAAGTCCTCCACAAAATATCGTAGGTCAAACCGTTAGTAATGCCACTGGAAATCTCCGACGCTTTTTCGATGGCCAATCCACTGGAAATTATTGGCGATCAAACTGTAGGTAATGCCACTGAAAATCTCTGGCGACTATTCTACGAAAGCTGTCGCTCTAACCACCGCCACAACCAAAATGGAAAACCACTAAAAAGTCGACGGATTGTGTTTTATATACAACTGATACCGGCAAAAAAAAATTCTCCATCACACTGAATATCTACTGAAAAATGCCAATTTCCACCAAAAGAATCAATTAGTAATGGACAATGTTCATGTAGTGTATATCTAATATTTTCTTTTTAATCGTGGAATATTTAAATTGAGCAAAATTCTATTTACCTGATGTGAACCTTACCAATTCTTCCTTTTGAGAGGAATGATTTTATTATTTGAGAATGCCTTCAATGCTGAGATTTGAATGCCTCCAAAGTTGAGGTTTGATCGATGCATCTGTTTCAACGATTTTAAAATAAGAGGGATTTAAAATATTAATAAGGAAGATTTTTTACATGTTTTTTGATTATTTGGTTTGCCTTGGTTTAAATGTCAAACTAAGGTCAAGGATACTTAAAGATTAGTAGATTTGTCTAATTCCAAATTGGTAACACGATTAGATAAATCATTTTGTTCATCCTTGAGCAGGCGAACTTTGTCTTGAAGACAATTGATTTTGTATTTAAGAATATGAATGGAAGTTTTAGATTGAGCTTCAGCTTTAGAGCTAATTTTCTTATAAAATTCTTTCATAAAATAGAAGGGATAATCTTTTGTAGAAGAGTGGGATTTTTTTCTCTTCTTCTAATAGGAAAATGATCTTAATTGTCTCGTGTTTAAGGATCAAATACTTGACTAAGAATTTTGATAATTTTATCTTTTTGACCATTCGTGAGGGTATAAAGCTGGCCTAGACATTTTGATAAGTATGGTGGGATAATTATCTCACTGATCACAAATGATCTGATCTTCTTACTAATACTCAGCTAGAAGATAATACTTATTGTAACATTGAGGCTGTTTATACATTGATTCAAAATATCCTTGAACATTTTATAGGATATGTTACTAATAATAGAGATCAGATGCAATCTCCATTACAAAATTTAGATGTCCAACATTAACTCATTTTTATTGGCATAAGGATGTATTCTTTGCTAGGGTTATGAATCTTCTGGATGCTAGCAGTGATTATTGGAAGCTAAAATTTATCAAAGGATTACCTTTAACTTTGCTGAAAATGTCAAACATAATCTTTGCGATAATAAATGATATTTTTAAAAATTATCTTACCTTTGGTAATATTATTAACCAGTGTATTAAAATTGATATTGATCTCTAGAATGATATTAAATAGAATCAACATATTTGTAAAGAACAAATTCTTGATAAAATAACAACTTTGATCATTTTATAAACAATTTGCTTGTAATATTCCATCATCCTCAAAGAAAAATCCAAACATAAAAAAACTCAAATTCAGGAATATCACGATGATGTAAAATATCACAAACAAAAGAAATACTCCAAGAAGTATTTTAAAAGAAAATATCACAAAAACCCGAGTTAAAATTAAAGAAACCTGACATAAAAGAAGTTTGTTGTTTTAAATGTGGCAAAATTGGCCATTACTCAAATCATTGCACCAATAAAAAAACCTTAGTGAGTTAAAAATCAATATGGATTTAAAGTCTACCTACATGAAAATTCTTTTAACTTATGGCTCTAAATCCGCTGAACAGTCTTCCTTTTATTAAACTTCCAGTTCATACTATGGTAATCAAGCTGATACTTGATAAAATACCTGCAAAGGTTAGAAAAGCAGAGAAACTTGAAGAAGAAGAAGAGAATGAGCTGGAAAAGCTGTGTTTCCTTAATCTCTCGGCCATGTACAGTAAGTGAGTTTTATAGAGGAGGAGGAGACAGGTCGTTGGAATATCAGAGAGGTGTTGGAGGTCAGAGTCAGACCAGTGGTGACAGAGGTTATGTGAAGCGCTGCAGTCGGTGTGATGAACCGCAGGAGGTATATGGAATACCTTAACATCCCCTCGCAAGCTGATCATCTGATCTACATATGGTCAGTTTGGTCCGTAGTTCGGAGAATCGCTTGCCGGTAATGGGTTTGGTAAGTATGTCCGCTGGTTGATCGGCGGAATTGATGTGAGCAACCTCTATCGCTTTGCGGTTAATATGATCACTGATAAAATGGTGATCTATTTCAATGTGTTTGGTCCTCGCATGAAATATGGGGTTGTTAGACAATGCGATGGCGGAGATGTTATTGCAGAAAATCATCATTGGAGCTAGCTATGAGGCGTGGAAATCATGAAGAAGCCGATGGAGCCAGATCACGTCGGAGGTAGCTGCCGCTAGAACTATGTACTCCGCCTCTGTTGACGATTTGGCGACAGTTGACTGCTTTTTAACGCTCCAGGAGATGAGGTTGGGACCGAGATACGAGCAGAACCCTGTAATTGACTTCCGATCATCGGTGTTTGATGCCCAGTCTGCATCGGAATAGGTTGTGAGCGTTAGAGGCCCGGTGGTGATCGGCAAGCCATAATCTTGTGTGCCTCTGATGTACCATAAAAGACGTTTGAGTCTCTTGAAGTCGGATGTCGTGGGACAGTGCATGTGCTGACATATGACGTTGGTAGCTAAGGCGATATCCGGCTGGGTTATGGTAAGATATTGAAGGGAGCCTGCTATTTGTCTGTAGAATGTGGGATCTTCATGGGTTGCCGCTGCTGTCTCTGTTTTGGACTCCTTTGGTGAGATCGGTGTGTTGACCGGTTTGGAGGAGTCTAGACCCGCTGATTGCAGAATGTCTCTGGCATAATGGGACTGAGTGAGAAAGAGACCAGTTGATGTGGGCTGAATTTGAATGCCGAGGAACAAACTGATTGT